AGTCTCCGACCTTCCTTTTGACCGTTTCCTCGCTCTCCGATGGAGGTGTCCTCCCGCTGGCGGTGCGCCGCCTGATCCCGATGCCTGGGACTCCTCCCCCCTACTGCGCTCTGGTGGAGAAGCTGGTCCTGATTTCCAACTGCTGCTCTCTGAGTCCCCTCTTGCCCCTTCTTCCTGGGGTGTCCCCCTAGGCACCCCCCTTGCTCTGACCATGGGAGCCCCTTTCTGTGAATCCTCCGAGTCGCTGGAGAGACTCAGAGACCTCGGACGGCTGTCATCGCTAACATTTCCTTCAGATTCCTCCCCCTCGGTCTCTATTTCCTCCCTCTCCTGTGCCTCTGCTCCTGAGCCCCTGACACAAGCATATATCAAACATAAAAGACATAACTATCAACTACCGTAAATTTCGCTCTATAACACGCAGATTTTTTCTACTAAAAAGTAAGGTGAAATGTCTGTGCGTGTTATTGAGCGAATGTGTGGTCCCTGGATCTGACTCTCCGGAGCTAAGGGGCAAAATAGGCAAAAATAAGATCGGGCGGCGGGCGGGCGGAGGGAAGGCGGAAGCTGTTGCTTTCCTGCATTCTGCCTCAGGGTCTTACTGCCCACCCGCTTCTGTTGCTGCGTTTGCTCAAACTCAACAAAGAGCAGGGAATCCCCTGCCCTCCTGGCAAGCAGAGGGTTAAGGAAATGATCGAGTCCTTCCGTGCAGGCTCCAGCCCACCACCTCCTCCTCTCCGTGCTCTAGGGACTCGCAGGCAGCCGAAAAACACGCAAGTGGGAGAGAGAGAGAGAGAGAGAGAGAGAGAGGGCTGGCTTGGGTTTGGTGGAGGGGACTTTTGCTTTACAATGGTATGTTTCTCATTTCTTTTCCAAAAGCAGAGAGCCCTGCCCCCAGGCCCCCTCCAAATTACAGCTTCTCCAAGCAATGTACTGCTGGAGGGAGACAGTATGCTTGTTTGGAAGAGAAACCCTGCTTCCCTGCTCATAAGTAACAGCAGGCTGGATTGCCGAGTGAGACATGGAAATCTCTGGATTTATATGCTGTATATCAAATATCTTAATCTATAGTTTCTAACGCGGCAGGTAAATCAGAATCTCCTGAGCCAGGAGGATTACAGCATCTCTCCTCTCCCCTTCATTAAAAGCCTAATACTCTTCTTTGAAGAAGTATAACGTGAGAATGTTTTTTATATATATTTTTTAAAGTTCATTTCCTCATTGTGCGCTATACACTGATAATTGCTGCCACAATAACAATTGATTGAAAATGGAATTTAGTCCCCCCCCCCCCATAGAGAGCTGTTCTTCAAACGTTTAGCCTTAATACAGTGGCTGATGTAATACCCTTCTGCTTCACTAGGCATTTTATATAGGGACATTAAAATTGATTTTCTACATCTTGGCAGATGAAAAAAGTGTGTTACATGCCCTATTGCCCAAAAGTGTGCAAGCACAGAGCAAAGGTTGCAGTGACAGAGGTGGCCAAAAAAGAAATACCGTAAATAAAAAAGAAATCATACTTCGTATATCCTGTCTGTTTTATCCTTAATAGGGACTTTTATAAGCATGGATCCACAGGATCTTTGCATTGGGTCACCCCAAATTCACCATCAGATAACATAGCATGTCCATGGCTACAACCTGCACCAAAAAAATCACGCACCCACTGTTGCCTAGGGTCGCAGTGGTGCAAAAACGTGGTTACAAAGCATGGATCCACATGGATCCTCAGGATTTTTGCATTGGGCTACTCCAAACTCACTGTCAGATCACATGTCTGTGGCCACAGCATGAACCACAAAAATCATACATCCACTGTTTCATTTAGAATATTTTTTTTCTTGTTTTCCTCCTCTAAAAACTATGTGCGTGTTATGGTCTGGTGCGTGTTATAGAGCGAAAAATACGGTATATATAAAAAGAGAAAAAAGAAAAAAAGAAAAACACAGTTATTCATACATATATTCAGTAACCATCTGGACTTCCTCACGTTTCCCTTTCCTGCGTTCTCAATATAAAAATTATGTTCAGCAATTTATTACCTTCTTTCAGATCTTATATTCTAATTCTAATATGTTGTGCCTCTAGTTTTAACCAAATCCATCAAATATTTAACTGCTTAATTTAAGCATAACTTTACTTCAGATCTCATCAAAACTTATCTTTATATTTCAGCTTATTCTCATACATATCTCATCTAAGTTTCTGTTGCCATAATCTTTCCTTTCATGCACCTTCTTAACATTCATACAATTTATATAGTTTTTGTAAATAGTCTTTGAACTTCTTCCAGTCCTCTTCCACCTCCTCTTTTCCCAGGTCTCGAATTCTGCCAGTCATCTCGGCCAGCTCCATGTAGTCTATCAGTTGCGTTTGCCATTCTTCCAGTGTGGGCAAATCTTGTGTCTTCCAATGTTTTGCAATCAATATTCTTGCTGCTGTTGTTGCATACATAAAAAATGTTCTATCTTTTTTTAACACCTTCTGGTCGACAATACCCAAGAGAAAGGCCTCTGGTTTCTTAGGAAAGGTATACTTAAATACCTTTTTTAACTCATTGTAAATCACTTCCCAGAAGGCCTTCACTTTCGGGCAGGTCCACCAAAGGTGAAAAAACGTTCCTTCAGTCTCCTTACATTTCCAACATTTATTATCATGCAAATGATATATTTTTGCAAGCTTGACTGGGGTCATGTACCACCTGTATATCATTTTCATAATATTTTCTTTCAAAGCATTACATGCCGTGAACTTCACACCGGTGGTCCATAACCTTTCCCAGTCAGCAAACATGATGTTATATCCAATATCCTGTGCCCATTTTATCATAGCTGATTTAACTGTTTCATCTTGTGTGTTCCATTTCAACAGCAAATTATACATTCTTGAGAGTACCTTAGTCTTAGGTTCTAACAATTCTGTTTCTAGTTTCGATTTTTCCACCTGGAATCCTACCTTTTTATCCATATTAAAGACCTCCTTAATCTGAGCATAGTGTAGCCAATCTCGCACTTTACCCTCTAGTTACTCCATACTCTGCAGCCTCCAGGTTTCTCCAACCTTTTCAATTATTTCCCAATATTTCGGCCATTCGGCCTCCATATTGAGTCTTGGTAGGTTTTCTTTTTGGGGGAGGGGGAGGGGAAAAGGGGGGGGAATGAGGATGATGTATTTTTGATAAAATGTTATGTTAAAATTCCTAATAAAAAATATTCAAAAAAAATGAGGAATGGTTGAAGCAGCTGAGTATGTCAAACCTGCAAAAGAGACTAAGAGGGGATAGGAGAGGCATCTTCAAATATCTCAAGGGCTGTCACATGGAAGAGGGAACATGCTTGTTTTCTCCTGCTCTCAAGGGTAGGATTTGAACCAATAGCTTCAAGTTACAAGAAAGGAGATTCCAGCTAAACATGAGGAAAAATTCCTGACAGTGAGAGCTGTTCAATAGCGGAACTGTCTCTCTTGGGAGATTGTGGACTCTCCTTCCTTGGAGGTTTTTACGCAGAGGTTGGATGGCCATCTGTTCTGGATGCTTGAGCTGAGATTCCTGCATTGCAGGGGGTTGGACTAGATGACCCTTAGTGTCCCTTCCAACTCTACAATTCTTTGATGCTATGATTCTATGTATACCTCTCCTTTGTGATTTCCCCTTTCTTCCATTTCTTATACAGTGGTACCTCTGGTTACGTACTTAATTCGTTCCGGAGGTCCGTTCTTAACCTGAAACTGTTCTTAACCTGAAGCAAAGTTAACCTGCATGATTTCTGTTCTCATCCTGAAGCAAAGTTCTTAACCTGAAGCACTATTTCTGGGTTAGCAGAGTCTGTAACCTGAAGCGTCTGTAACCTGAAGCGTCTGTAACCCGAGGTACCACTGTACATGCCCTTCTTAAATCTAAGCTTATCTATAAGCTCCTTATGAAGCCACACTGGTTTCTTTAGATGCCTCCCACATTTCTTTCTTATTGGAACTGTCTGCATTTGTGCCTTTAATATTTCACCTTTCAGAAACTCCCATCCATCTTGCACTCCCTTCTCTTTTGAATATTCTGACCACGGGATGTTCCCCAGTAGCTCCATAATAAATGGTTTATTCCCCACTGCAGTTCCTCACCAGACTGCTAATTGTTAGGACTATGATCATATGAGACTAGAAAAACACATGATGAAGGTATTCGACATTTGATGGAAGGGGAGTCTTATCACAGAAGATAGTTATCATTTGGTGGTAGCAGAAGTCAATACCTTTTAAGAGGATTGGTACATAAGACATGGCTATCCATTTCAAAAGGGGTTTGCTGCATATCTTGCTGGGGCAAGGCAGCTGTAGTCGTTGTCCGGCGTGTTGCTCCGGCGAGGGAGAGCCGGCGCTCTTGCCTTCTGGTCAGCGTGTCCGGGAAGGTGGCGAGCCCTGCTTCTCGCTCGGCAGGGTCGGGAGCCCTGGGCGCTGCTGGTCGGCTTTCTTAAGGCTCCTCGAGGGGCAGATGTGAGAGCGCGCCATGGATCCCAGTACAGATGTGGGCTCTGCTTTGCTGGGGTTCGGGTCTAGTCTCGAAATGCAAGGGAAAACACACGCCGGCTTCTAGCAATGGCCACGGTAGATTTTACAGTTACCTTTTCGCGGAATTCTGTGTAGAATCGTAAGCTAAGGAAATCTCCTCGGCCGGCCACATCAAAGACTGAGGCGGGAGCGGAATGAGGCGGAGAGCGAGCCAGGCCGCCCCGTCCCGCTAGCTGGCTTCTCCCGGCGCAGCCCGTGCTTCTCGCTTGCGCGGGAGGCGGGCACCCGCTGGCCTCCCGCTCGTACTTGGAGCGCGCAGCCCTTTCCCGGGAGCTGGAGACGGCCGTGGACGCGCAGCGGGGCGCGGACAGGCGCGCAGAGGAGCCCGCGGCTCGGCGACCACGCGGCGCGCGCGCCAATCCGCTCCGTGCGGGAGACGCGCGGCCAATCCTCCTCCGTGCGGGAGGCGGCGGCGGCGGCGACAGCGCGCAGGCGCAGGCCGGGCCCCGCGCCGAGAGGCTGGTGGACGAAGCCGGGATCACCTGCCCGCCTCGCCTCCTTGGCGCGTCCCGCCCGGCGGGGAATCCCCTGGCCAGTCCGCCTTCCGCTCCCCGCCGCCGCGCCTCGCTCTCGGCCGCCTTCCCCATGCTGCCCGCCCTGCGGGCGGCGCGCTTGGCAGGCGGCCGGACATCCGCGCCCGCCCAGAGGATTTTCTGCGCGGGCGGCCGTTTGCGCGCGCAGCGCCAACGCCGCTAGTCGCGCAAGAGGCGTCCGGCGCGGGATCCCTCGCCCTCGGCGCCTCCCGCAGCGCGGCTCGGAGGGGCTTCCTCGCCGCCGCCGCTTTCCCGCGTTCGGCGAAAGGCTGCCGCCCGCCCGCCCCGCCCCGCCTCTTCCATGAGCAGAGCGGGAGCGGCGGCGGCGGCGGCCGAGGCGGCGGCCCCAGAGCCTCGCTTCTCTTCCCCGCCGGGTTTATGAATGGCCTGGCCATGGAGGACCTGCCGTTTCAGAAAGCCAGGAAGGCGAGCAAGAAGAAGTGCCTCCGCCGCTGCGGCTCCTCCTGCTGCTGCTACTGCCGCCGCTGCTCCGCAGCCTCCTCTCCTCCCGGGGCGGCGCCAGCGGCGGCGGGCGGCCAGAACGGCGGCGGCGGCGCCCCGGGAGCGGCGGCCGTCGGAGGGGCTCCGGCTGCGGCGGCGGCGGCGGCGCTGCTGGACGGCGCGTCGGCGTGCGAGGACCAGTTCGCCTGCAAGGAGCTGGAGTCGCTCTTCCAGAACTACAACCTGAAGCTGGAGCAGACCTCGACGCTGAAGGCGCTGGCCGTGCTCATCGCGCTGACGGGCAGCCTGGCGCTGCTGGAGCTGCTGTCGGCGCCCGGACTCACCATCTCGAAGGGCTCGCACCCGGTGCACTGCATCATCTTCCTCTCGCTCTTCATCGTCACCAACGTCAAGTACCTGCAGGTCACGCAGCTGCAGCAGATCGTCAAGCTCACCTTGCTCTTCAGCTTCACCTTCGCCTTCCTCTGCTGCCCCTTCTCGCTGGGTGCGCACGGCGCCGAGCCTCCCAGCGCCCCCGAGCAGGGCATGTGGCAGCTGCTGCTGGTCACCTTCATCTCCTACGCGCTGCTGCCCGTCCGCACCCTCCTGGCCATCGTCTTCGGCGTCGTCGTGGCCGCCTCGCACCTCATCGTCGCCCTCACTTCGGCCAGCGCCAAGAGGCAGCCTCTCTGGAGGACGGTGAGTGCGCCCGGCGGGCGGGCGGGCGGGGACCGAGGACCAGCGGGGCCCGGCCGGGCTGCGCTCCGTCGCAAGGGCCGCCCCGATTGCTCGGTGTCCCTCGGGCTCCCGAGGAAGTTCCGTTCAGGCCCAGCGCTGGAAAAGGGAACCGACGGCCCTGCAGGATAGAGCCGGGGCTGGCAGGAGATGGCGGGCTGCCCGGGGTGTCGGGGATGCTGCTCGCTCGAAGTCTGCAAACTGGGCTTGGGTGTTTTCTGCCTATAGCTGATACAGTGGCAAATGGGGGCGCTGAAGTAAGTGGGTGGGTGAAGGAGAAAGAGAACGAATGTCTGGCAGCACATGGCTGCTTTTGTGGAAGGACAGGGTGCTTGAAATGTGTGTGGATTACGATCACGTTATTAAGTGTTTGTTGTTTGTGGAACTGCTGAAAACGGCTTATCTGTGCCCAAGATGATACGGACGCCGTATAATGGGCAGAGAGAGGAGGATACTGTATATTGATCCACCCCGCATATATCGCCAAGTTTTTAACGAGATAGCAGAGTGATACCCGTAGGATGAATGGGATAAACACGGACAGCGGAAGGCTGACAGCGAATTGGACAGGGGTGGAAAGGTTCTTTTCTGTGAAGTGAAGGAAATCGTGTAGAAGATATTTTGATGGAGCCCCTTTTCTTCCCATCTCTAATTCCATAGGCAAGCGGGTGTTTTCGGAAACCCTCTCATTCAGCCCCCCTGCTTCCCCATAGCAGCTGCTTGTGCCCCCCTCTCTCCGCCGCCCCTCACAGGCTCCCTCTCTCGCCCATTAATCCTGTGGCAGAGCTGCATCTTCAGGAATGTGCTGTTGCAAAGCCCCCCCCCCGTCACTATTTATGGCTCTGCAGGGTTTCCTCAGGTGTCCACAGCCTAAGGGACTTCAGCTGGAAAGGAGAGAAGAGAGCAGGGGAGGTTTAAAGATTTGAGACCCCCCCCCTCTTCTGAATCTTCGCTGGTGGAAGAGAGAGGAGGCAGGTGGGAGATGGTTTGCTTGTCTGTTGTTTTGGCAGTTCACAGATGAGTAGCTGTTGGCTTGGGTGAATCTAATTTTGAGAATAATAATAAAGGTGAAAACAAAACAGCCTTTTTCTTCCATGGTGCTTTCTGATTCTATTTTCTCTGGCTGACTAAGACTGTTATGACACACAAACATAACCCACAGTGAAAGAGGTGAAGTTATACTGGCTGGTTATTGTGGTTGAATCTTTCTGAATTTCGGACACATGCTCACGGATCACATATATGTGCTCACACCAAATACATAAGGAGACGCATGTAGCCAACTTACAAGATTACTCCTGGCTCACTGCTACTGAGCTGGTGGACCAAATAAATTGTGTGTTTGGAGGGAGGGAGGGAAGCATGGAGGGAGGGATAAGCTGAGCTTTATGATTTACCCAGATTATCTGGTAGTCTATTTTTAAGTGCACGACTGAGAGGTTCAGAGAAAAAAGGAAAATATGTGAACAGTTGAACTTCAAAGAATAGATTTCTGTGAAAGCATCATCTGTGCCAAAGCGTGTGCCAGCAGTCCATTTTCAGTTAAGTTATACAATAAAATTTACATATTTATGAAATCCCACAACATTTTGTGCCCAAAGGGAGTCCAAGCAATATATGCTTTTCAAGTCATGTGGGTGGAGATGGAGGAATCTGTGTTCTCTTGGTTTCTTCTGATATTCTCATATATATATATATATATATATATATATTTATACCCTACATTTTTCATTGAAAGGGGCTCAAGGCAGCTTACATATAAAATTGGAACAGCTAAAAACATTGGGGGGGGGTAAGGAGAACAATATATTTTTTTAAATAAGCATTTATAGAATAAATGCTATATATAAAAATAGAATATCTTTTTAAAAGATGCAGACAATTACCATAAAAACAGCACAGCAGCCAGCCTTTCATTAAAAGCTGTCAGTTCTCAAAAGCTTGTTAGAATAAGAACAGGCAGGAGTTCACATGCTGGTTGCTGATTTTTCCAATCTTAAATTCATTTCTGAGCCTCATGAAAATTTGCCAGCATTTTAGTGTGCATTTCTCATAATAAACACATTTTTGAATATTGTTTTGTCAAATCTACGTTTTTGCCTGCCGTTGTCTCCTAATATAAATGTCAACGGATGGCTGTGTTTTGATTGCCTGTTGTTTCCAAAATGTCAGTTGGATGGGTTCCTCTTTAAATGTGAGCTGCTTCAGATTTCTCCTCCACACCTAGGTGTGAGTGCACAGCCTTGAATTGCATCTGCTCTCTTTTAAAAAAATGAACAAAGCAGCAAAATTTCTCTACCGTTTCCTGTGGATATATATATTATCTTGCTTAAAAGTTTTCCAACTCTCTTGTCTGCATGGTTGTCTTCTGTTCAGCTTATTCAGGAGATAAATGGAACTCCCTAGTAAGTGTTTAGGCTTCAAACTATCAAACTTACTTGGAAGTAAATCCTATTTAGATCAATGTAACTTACTTCTAAGGGACGCGGGTGGCGCTGTGGGTTAAACCACAGAGCCTAGGACTTGCCGATCAGAAGGTCAGCGGTTTGAATCCCCGTGGCGGGGTGAGCTCCCATTGCTCGGTCCCTGCTCCTGCCAAGCTAGCAGTTCGAAAGCACGTCAAAGTGCAAGTAGATAAATAGGGACCGCTCCAGCGGGAAGGTAAACGGTGTTTCCGTGCGCTGCTCTGGTTCGCCAGAAGCGGCTTAGTTATGCTGGCCACATGACCCGGAAGCTGTACGCCGGCTCCCTCGGCCAATAAAGCGAGATGAGCGCCGCAACCCCAGAGTCGGCCACGACTGGACCTAATGGTCAGGGGTCCCTTTACCTTTACCTTACTTCTGAGTATACATATTTTGCATTGGGGCTAAAAGTTATTACTGGAAACTAGTGTTTCCTATAATGTTTTGAAAGCAAGATGTAAACATTTTTATGAATTACTCAAGGTATAAATATTGCACTTACTCACATTATGAAAGGGAGAGGGTTTCTGGAATGGTAATTTCCTCTGAAAACATTAGACAGGAAACAATTGGCACAAACCAATTGAAGGTAGCTGACTGGGTGACTTGAAATAAGGAGTCTTCCACATGTACTATATAGAAAAGCAAAAATTATTCATATTTGAGTTAATCAAAAGCAAGGTCATCTATGTCAGGTTGGTATCATGGAACCATTTCATCAGTCCTAACTGTCTTCCCATTCTGTTTTCAGTTACCTCTGTTGTTATATGGGGGACTGCACTCTTGTGTACCAGCTCAGTAACTGAAGTCATCATTTTCTGACCAAGAAAATAACCCATTTTAAGTGAGAATTACAAAACAGAATATAACTTTGAAGAATTGCTTTAAAGGAACAAAATAGCTTATTTTGCTTCCTGACATGTGATCCGAAAGCTCAGAGAGGCATCTAAAAGGAAGTTTTAATGGGTCTATGTCCCATTTAGCATCCAAAACAGGGCAAGAGCTGTATGAGTTAAATGTATTTTTGTGTAGCTTTCGTGATTTTGAGGTTTCCCTTGACCTGGAAGACATAGGGCATGAGCATGTAGATAGAGAATCCTCCTGTATCTGGCCTTCTTTGAGGTTCTGTGTAAAGTGAGAGTGGCATCTCTGCTGGTGAGGTGGGTCCCTTGATGCTATTACAGCACTGGCAAATGCCTGGCATTGCTTAACACTGGAGACAACACTGTTTGCAATGATAATTTACATTGTTATAAAGAACCTGTACATACAACCTGGAAACATGTGGATCAGTCAGCAGATATCCATGCCCTAATAGCATTTACCTGGGTCACTGATTGCATTAAATGTGGCTTTGAAGGGAATTTAGATACTGTATTTATAGAGACAAACTTTAGAACAAACCAACAGGATGGCAGGTAAATATCAATCAAAGATGTGGCTGGAGGGCAAAGCAGTAGGCAGGGGTATTTTGTGTCATTGAGAGATTCTCTTGGCAGTTGTGAGATCAGGAGAGATGGGTGACTGCACTGTGGGGAAAGACTGTTCTGTACTAAAGAAACAGCTTTTGAATTCTTTAAAGATTCTCTCTACCATAGAGCAGTGTTTCCCAACCTTGTGCCTCCAGCTGTTTTTGGCCTACAATTCCCATCATCCCTTGCCACTGGTCTTGCTAGTCAGGGATGATGGGAGTTGTAGGCCAAAAACATCTGGAGGCACAAGGTTGGGAAACACTGCCATAGAGGATCAAATTTCTAGATGAATAGCATGTTAGAGGACATTCGGCACAGAAACATGTGTGTATACCTTTAAGAAGTTTCTGGGATTAATTGGCTGCAGGTGACCGTTGCTATAAAGGAAAAAGCTGAGTTTTGTTGCCTGCCTGCAGGAATAACATCCACCAGAGTTTGTGTTTATTTGCTTAGTAATAAAGTCTTCGTTTTAGTTTGGGTTTTTACACCTATGTCTCCTGGAGTCACTCTGTCCTCTGCCACCGGCTGGAAATCCCCCTCCAACAGGTTATGGGCCCAGTCCCCAGTCCTGAGTGGGCAGAGACAGAGCGTGAAAAGAACCCAGAGACTGGAAGCAACTCAGCGTTTCTCAAGCAGCTGGCTGTGTGAAGGCATCGGCAGGGAGTGTCTGTTTGGGACCAGGAGCCGAACATTTCTTCAAGCCACGTGTGAGTAAGAACTGAGTGGAAAGCTGAAAGCTGGGTGGCGCCATGGCTGGACTTGGAGCTGGAGCTCAAGGGGGAGCTTCCTATTTTCCAGTAGAGAAACTGGGAGAGTCCAATTATATGTCATGGAGTTTACAGATGCAGGCGTTTTTAAAGAAAGAACAATGTTGGACTGTTATTGTTAACCCTCCTGTAAAAGAGGAGGATGAAGAAGTAGATGAAGCAGACCAAAGGCTGGAGGACAAAGCCTATGCCAATTTAATTTTGAGTTTAGAGAAGTCTCAGTTATCTCATGTGCGAGACCTTGAAACAGCAAGTGAGATTTG